TATATATTACATATATACATATAAATATATATTATGTGTGCGTATGTGTATGTGTGAGGAGTGTGCGAGAGTGAGTGTGAGTGAGTATGTGCATCTACTGTGGTCTTTAACTTCCAAGAGATGCTGTGCAGGATGGCGCCTGTGTCGAGTCATTCGTTCGAAGTGAGAGCTTTGCGTTACCAACAAGAAGCCAATTATAGTGAGAATCAAAGCCGTACTACCAATATGTTCGGTACGTCCCGGTTGCTAAGCAACTGCAATAGAACTTGCGGAGCATTGGATACACGCCAGAGCAAATGCCACTGTTAGGCAAAACAAGTAAAGTCAATGAACATACAGGCTGTGTTATATTTTATGCAAAGTAGTACATATTACGGGCCTTTTAAGGCCCCTCATCTCAAGGGAAAGAGAGAGAGGCTTAGCTGAATCGCCCATCACAACCCTTACAAAAGTGTTTTCTTATTACAACAGGGTTTTTCGCCTCGGTCCAGCAATCGCCTGTTAGACGGCTGGTGCCTTACGAATATATAATAATTATAGACTGCAGCGTATTGGAGTCTGTCTATATATCAGAATGTGAGTGCATAGTATAGTGTGTGAAGAAGTGCCTTGTTCAAGAGCCTGTGCAGGTGCGCACAGGACAAGCCCATTTGCACATCTGAGCTATGCCACACGCTCTTGGCACGGGATGGGTTCAAGGCGGTAGGGGATACATCTTCTCAGGCACACGCGGGCCTACCCCACTGCGTGTGCTATTGCCTTCGTCTCGTTGAATCGCGTGCAGCCACGGAGAGAGAGAGAGAGAGAGAGGGGGGGGGGGGTTAGTTTGTTTGAAACCTGCAACCAGCATTTTGTCTAAAACCCTAAAACCCGGAAGACAGCATAAGGTGTATACAATAGCATGCGCAAGGGAAGCGTCCCGTGGACTATACCCCGATGCCATTGCTACTGGTGTGCTATGGGGCGGTCTCACACACGGATGAGGTTTCTCCCAATAACTGTGTGCATGCTCTCCTGCGATGTGTGATCGTTCGCAGAGATGTGCACCTGTGTGGCAAACGTTCCTGGTCTGCGCTGGTAGATGTCACCGGCGCGCATTGTTTGCGGCCTCCGATGTACTTGCGTTAAGGTGGAAGTATATATATATATGTATATATGTGTGTGTGCACATGTACGTACTGTGTGTGCTTTACTCGTTAGCTCCTATTCATTGTGCAAATGGTGTACATCAGACACAATCGACGCACGGACTCCTTTATAGAGAAGAACGAATGCACTATATATATATATATATATATATATATGTATATACTGATATATTAATTCTATAGGCGTTTGCACTCAGTTGTGGCTATATTTCCGTTGTTCGCTGGTTGTTTTAGTTGTTTCTGGAGAAGGAGGGGTCGCATGTGCCTGGGTCGTCTGCCTGTTACTGTGTGGAAGGCTTCTTCTGACTCGAATGCTTGAGATGGGCAATGCTGCAGTGTCCGTTGGGAAGCACGTGTTCGTCGCACATGTGTGTACAGTGCCTGTAGTTCACGGTTGGTGGTTTCATCGCGTTGTCTGCAGGAAGTTAATTAACGGGAAGCGGTTTTAGGGATGAGGGCTTTTAGGGTTTAATTCAATTTATGGGTGGCAGTACTAGGGTTGAGGGCTAGGGTTATATTAATTTATGGGAAGCAGTTTGAGGTCGGATCCGAGTAAGGAGAGGTAGTCAATAGCCTATGCGCTACAGAGCAAAGCGAGAGCCGTGCATGTCTCGAGGGCAAAGCAGCCATTTAAATGAGATGGAGAGGCAGGAATATCTAATGATCGCAGCGTATTGTGGGTTGGCATTCCATTTTGGTACCGTAGTTTGGGTTTAACCTTTCCTATTGGTACCTACTTTTTTTTGGGTTTATACGAACCATAAATTGGTTTAGCCTTTCAATTTACCACCTTCTTTTGTGTGGTCTTACCTTTCGTACTGTGCAGCGCTCAGCAACGGGCGTTCGTAAGTGGGCATGTATGTCGTAGTCATGACCCACATCCTGCACTGTGGACACACCTCACGCCCAGGATTCCTCTCGGCCATCTGCACGCGCACACAGCGAGAGGAGAAGTATACAGCCATGTACATGTATATTAGATTATACGACATATGGTATAGTACACGCCATGGATATGTCTTAAATTGTACATTGGCACTGATATATGTTAAATAATACGACAAATTATATTATACGATATGAATATATATTAAATTATACAATGACACTGATATATATTAAAATACACACCCACACACTGTCAGGACTATGCAAACCCCCTTCCCCCTTTTAATGTTCAGGGTTTTTGATACACATCTCCTTCCCCTATTTTAGGGTTCAGGTTTTTTGATACGCACCTACTTCCCGTATTTTAGGGCCTATGGTTTTTGGTACACGCCTCCTTCCCTTATTTTAGGGTTCAGGGTTTAGAGTTTTGACACTTACCTCCTTCCACTGTGTCACACAGCGCTGGCACACGACTGTGTGGCCACAGGGACTGAAAGTGACGCGAGGCGTCTCCGTCCAACAGATCACACACTCATCACTGGGCGATGGGGCACGCGCACGCGCTGCGGTGTTTGTGCTGCGAAGCTGGCGCAATAAGCAGTCGATCTCTCGGACCCTTCGACAGAAACACAAGTGGTAGGTAGGGCATTATATATATATATATATATATATATGAGTCACAGGCACCCATGTGCTAAGTAGTATGACACACACACTCACACATTTAAGTGTTCTTTATACACGTGCTTTAATGTCAGGCGCACGCATAATATCAACAATAAGAAGAGTCTGAACACGAAACAATTAGGAAGAGTTTGAACACGAAACAATACCAAGTAAACCTTCAGCCCTCAAACAATATCAAGCAAAACCCTACACCTTAAAACAGGATCAGGTAAAACTCTAACCCCTAAAGTAATACAAAGTAACCCCCTAAAGCAATATCAAGCAAAACCCTAAAATAATATCAAATAAAACTAACCCCTAAAGGAATATCAAGTAAAACCCTAAACCCTAAAATAGTGCCAAGTGCTCTCACACTGCAACAGCACAAAGCCGCTGTGTGAAAGCCCAAAAACATCACAACTACCAATGACATTAATCGCTCGCAATGTATTGGCATACGCTGTCAGGCTCATGCAGACTATTCAGGGCTTCATGGTGTAGGGGGTAGGCTATAACCTATGCAGACTATTCAGGGCTTTATGTTATAGGGGATAGAGTACAACGAGAATTTACACCCGCCATCGCCAGCTCAAGCTCCAACATGGCCTTAGCACACTGTGGCGCTATGAAGTTATAACATCCAATAGCAACCGCCCAACCAAACCAAATTAAATTTACACTACATACTTCACTGACCTGTCCTGACCTAAACTGGACCGGACCGGACTCACCTTGACCTCAGCCGCCCATGGTTGGCTGGGTGCACGGCTGTTTCCAAGTCCACGAGTTCTCGGCGCAGTGTCTGCAGTTGGTACTGGTTGAAGTTGCTGAGATTGGCCATGACCGGGTCTACGGTTTGGCTGAACTGCGCTGGGTTTCGTATCCGCCGCTCCTCATTTCTGGTCAGAAGCACACCCAAAAATAGGACAAATAGGTCGTGAGCATACATTGCAAATCCTTATAACCGATTCTAAGGTTTTTACAGGCGTACTATCGAGCTACCAATATAAAACACGTTCGTAGGTGCAACTATCACTTCTTTTCGTGGGTATTGTGGTAGGTATAGATTATCGTCAGCCGTATCTTTGTCCTTGAGTGGATGAGGGGTGGCCTGTGTCCTTGGTAGGTGAGGCATGTCTTGTTGTGCTGTGAGAGGTGGTCTGTGTGTCTGCTACGTCTTCCGAGATGTCCAAAAAGCATGTTCTATACATGGTAATACATATACCTTCGCACACTTACGTAGTACTACATATACCTTCGCACACACTTGGATAGTAATTCATATACCTTCGCAAACCTACACTTACTTAGTATCACATATACCTGATCATAGTGCGGATGGTCCTGAGCACTTGCACGACGTTCCACCAGAAGACAAAGTTGTCAAACGCCACAGAGATAACAAAGGGCGACAGGGCCACCTGGTATCTAGGTGACAGATGGTAACCCTTTGCCTTCGCCACAGCCAGCACTCGCAACTGCATAGCAACCAACATGAGCCGCGGCGAATCAGATGAAGAGAGGGGGTGGGGATGTAAGGGGGGTCTGAGAATTGGGCATCAAGAGCACGAGTGGTACAACTGCTATGCCATGAGATGACAAGACAACATGACATGAAATGACAACATGACATGACATGACATGGAAGTACAATGGTGATTGGCTTTGGTGTACAGTACATGCACATATAAAATGACGACGAATGGACCACCGGGCATGTGCACAGCCTGAAGACTATGGACAACGAGTGAAGGGCGAAGTAGAAGACTATATAGTACTAGAGCCAGTCGCCCAGTGTAGTTCTAGTACTGGGATACTATAGCACAAGCAAGCCCTACATACAAGGTTACACCCACATATGTTTTAAACGCCCTTGATACAAACATACAAGGTTACACCCAAATACGTCTTAAACCCCCATGATACAAAGGGAGCGGACATTGCACTTGGCACAAACCTGCGGATAGAACATGCACTGCAGCACATTGGCCACTGTGAAGTCCAGCAATTCGTACCAGACGAGTGCAACCGTCGGCGACACAAGGAAAAAGGTCAACCAGAACGAGCGGGTTAACGGCTCGACCGGATCAGACGATGTCAGGTCGGTTGTTTGATTAAACAGGGGCATTTGGCTGTTGTGGTGGAAGGGATATTGGATTGTGAGATAAAATGGAGGGGGAGTGGATGCAAGCATTGGCGATTGAAGGTTGAAAATATCAGAGATATCGCATGCACAGGCAGATGGTATATATAGATATATATACAAAGTATTAGTATATATATATATACATATACATATATATAAATATATATATATATATATACATATATATATATATAATATAAATATATACATACATATATATATGTATATATATATGTATATGTTATATATATATATATAAATATATACACCTTGAAATACATACATATATAAGTATAGAAATAAATATAAATATGAATATATATATATATATATATACATAAACATATATACATGTACATATTCACAAAAACACACACACACGCACACACATATATATATACAAATACATAATACATAAATAAATACACACACACGCACACACATATATATATACAAATACATAATACATAAATAAATACACACACACATATATATATATATATATATATGTATGTACATACATATCAATTTATATAAATATATAAATAGGTATAGATACATAGATATATACATAGATATACACACATATACACATACATATATGAGTACATACATACATAAGCAAACATATATGGATACAAATAAATATACATATACATATATACATATATACATCCCACACAC